TTAATCCAAGGTATATTGAGGCAAATGGGTCCAGGGAAGGTGCCCCACTCCCAACCCTCTTTTGGGTGCACAAGCTTTGGACACCAGACCTGCTGGCAACTTTGTATCTTATGGCCATGTGTGTTCTAGATGGTGTTTTGCAAGTTTTGGCACCAAAAACATCTGCAAAGTGTAGCTAATCAACAAGCCATGTACTGACTTCTAGGCCCACGAGGGGTGCCCTTTTGGACATCCCACATGCAGCTGCAATTTGCTTTTTACCAGGAAATAAAACTGCTCCTGGCTACCTGTTTATTAACTATTACATGTCCAAACTATATCTTTTGTTGTCATACGTAAAATGTATTCTTTTTTATAAGTGAAACTTGTCATTGCTTTCCTTCCCAACATCACCTCCTTGATCCCGAACGAAAGAGTCCAGTGGTTAATGAAGTTGCAGTGCTCAGTCAGTTTGCAACTAAATTGATATACTCACAGTGCCCAGCTGGCCTGTGACACTACACAAAAACTGTAGTGGCATCTAGTGGACAAAGGGGCTCATTACATGTCATTCAGTGAATTCACATGTATACACAAGAGATCAATGGCTGTATTGTTGCAATTTACGTTGATGCAAACTAAAATACAATCGGGACATGGTTTATTTTGCACTGCAACAGACTCATTTAAACTGCAAAAAACCCTGTACGTGTAAAGTGTGATGCAATAAAACCTCAAAAGGGGCAATTTTCATTATGTGTACAAGCGCCCAGTGAGACAAACTGTGGAAGACTAATAATTAGAACTAAAACAACTTTCATTTCTTTGGGTTGCACACATTTGCAAATTAAGCCAACAGTTTATTACTGCAGCCTTTCATTAAATTGTACTTTTGCCTACAAACTTGCCTCATCTTTGGCAACTCATCTGAGTAGCACGTGAATGTTTGGTTATAAGAAATGAGTTCACTGTAGCCCATAAACAAAAAGGATCTGACTTGATTCATTACTTGAAATAGAGGCCTCTGAAGACGACTCAAGTGCTTCAAGAAACTGAATTGGTAGAGAGTTTGGGGGGTGGGGAGAAGAGGGAAGAAGGGGTAGGATCATGACCTGAAGTGTAAGAATTAAAAGCTGTGTAAATAGCACTAATTTGGAACCCAGTGAGCGTAATTTTCCAGTGTTCTGCATCTTGTCTCATTTAGGATACCAGTGTGGATCACCAAGGGAGCTTTTGCCATCCAATGTTCACAGAGGAAAAAAAAAACCTCTGAAGAATTAGTTCTGATAGGTGTGCAAACTTAATATAACTTACACAGTGTGGGGCAGAAGTTGACTGTAAAAGGAAAGGTAAGTATATGACAGAAAAATCAAAGATCCTGTACCTCTGATGCCTACTACATTCCCACTGCCAGAAGTCTGAGTAATGGCTTCCAGGGATTACAAAACTATTTAGTGAATCACCCAAGTAGAAAGGGGCAAGGTAGCTGTATGTCACTTTTCTGCTCCCCTGACACTGGGGCTGCCTAGGAGCCATTTTGGCCTGGGCAAAATTCTGGCTTTAGTAACCAGAAGGTAGTAACATTGCTGCAATGCTCCTTTTGGCTAGCCAGACAAGGCAGGGATGAAACCTCACTGCAAAGGGAATGTGAGTTAGAGACATCTGTGCTGTCTCTGCCCCATTTGGGGGAATCATCAAGAGGTTAAGTCACGTTGGGCCTTTTTGCTTTGCCTGAATAGCAGGAAGGGGCAACAGTACAAACAAGAATCTGGCCACCAAGTGGTTCAAATTACACTACTCATTCATCCATGACACAATGAAGTATACTAAAATATCACACTGGCAAGGTCAAGTGAGCAAAAAGTTAAGAAAAAACAGAATTAAGGTTGCCTGTCAAACTTTAATCAGGCTCCTCATGCATATGTATTCTATCTGCACTTTAAACTCATGATCATTTGCTAGTTTTTTCCAGAGATACTCTGCATCAGATTGATAATATTCACTTAATGAGCGGCTAATAATTGTTTTGTTTTCTCTTTGTTATTCTATGTATTATCCCAGGCCTTATTTACTCCACAATATTCAAGGCCTGCTCTGAAGACAATGTTATTACACTCCTCATGAGCTTTTCTGTGGTGCTCAGTGCTACAACAGAGTCTTCACAAACATAAAACCTTCTTCACAACTCCCCTAATCGGGTGGGAGGGGTGATCTTATCCCCAGTGGAAAACAGAAGCACAGTGAGATTTCCATCTAAAACATTCATTAATACTGGGTACTTAATTCAAAGCAAGTAGGACCTGATTTTTCGGAATACACAGTATGATACAGCACTTCATATGCACAAAGCACAACTCTCACTGACTTCAGTTAAAGTTTTAAGGGCTCTGCACTTCAAATAAGGTCCCAGGGGCTGTGGAAAGGAACAAGATCCTCTAGCCAAGACCCTCTAGCAGCGCAGCTTGGCCCCAGCCACCACGTATCCATCCAGCCTCTGCCACAACGTGCTACTGTGGCTCAGCTTGGTGTGGGGCCATGTGCTTTAGGGCAGCTCTGGGCTGTCACCCTGGGGCTGTGTGCTGCTCGCAGGGACCACCAGCCACACTGCCCATAGAACCAGAAAAAAAAATATTTGCATCTTTGTAAGAAACTCCTTTCACCCAGCCAATTCCTCTAGTTGTAGGGCACTGATCCAATAACTGCTGTGTTCAGTGAGATTTTCACCAGGCTTTTAATTCCCCAAGCTTTAAGTACATCACCTTTATAACAATTCACATAAGACTCACACTACAATATACAAAAACACAGAGAGTGAAATAGCTTAAAAAGTTGCTTAGTGAAGATACTTAAATCAGGTGGCAGTTTGACAGGCAGGAGGACTAGAGTCCTAGAGTCTAGTATTTTCATACTGAAGACTAATTATAAAGACATCATTCTTTAAATTTAAATGGGAAAAAAAAACAGTGAAAATATGTAACACAGGAAGTTAAGTGAGGTGGAAATAACAAATTTAGTTCCCTATTGCTGAGAAACACTTATGTGGAAGAACATTAGACAAATATTAGTCTGTGCAAAGGACAGGAAACTTGTATCTGTAAAGGATTCCCATCTTGATCAATGCCAAGATTTCCTGAATTATAATACCAAATTTTGCCTCATCTTGCATATCACTGAAAGTTGTAATTCTGCCCATAACTTGTAGTTAAATACCAATCCTTGAAGCCTTTTGATCATAGACTACTATTATTGTAAAATGCAGACTTATCACGTAAAATTATCTGCATCTTTTTCATAAGTTGGAAGTATAATGTATAGTTTCCTAAATTCTTTATTAAAACTGCATTTCAGGATACAGCTTTTGCACCTTGATGTATTCTATCAATTGGCTTTCAGTGCAATCAACATCCTTTCTAAGCAGCTACCAGGTTATTGTGCAAGATGAGACATTTTTATATCAAGCTACCAAAATTCAACTTGCAGAATCTAGTTTTTACAGACAAACACTTATGGCAAAGTTCTGTGACTCCATCAATACCACATGGTAAACATGGGAATAGAATTTAATTCCCTCCAATTTAAAACGTTCAAGAAAGTACGTTTTCTTTCAGGTGTTATTTTCTTACCTATCTTGTGACACAGTTGGCCGTGGTGGAATTTGAAATGGAGACAATACCTCATTAGACTCTAAGGTTTTTGATAAGGTGTCTGTTCCCTCTGTTTCTCTGCAGTAGAAGGGCAGAGCATGTAGCAGTGCCATTCTTCATATTTGAGCTGCTAGGCCTGTAGGGAAGATACACAGATAAAAGGTTAAATCTCAACAAGAATCAGTCGCTGTGTCTCGATAAAGTCTGAGAAAGCAACACAAGCAGATTCTGCTGAACTCTGACGCAGCTCAGCCTAGGAAACACTGCCTGTCTTATTATTGTGGCTCGCCACTTGTGTCAGATTACACCATCAGACACAAACAAAAGATATTTCTTATACAAGAATGGAACACTATGATTTTGCTCTACTAATAAACAATAAATAGCCAAAAAAAAGCTTTTAACAAATAGCAGAGAAAAATCTTTCTATGGAATTCGGATTCTGAAAACATCATTAGTTATTTTTGGTCACCCTTAAACCAAAAGGTTATGTCTACTCTGCATGGACAAAAAATGACCCCATGAAATGTTTCATTACATATTCCTTATGCTGTAGGCTCAGGAATACTGGTTTTCTACCCTCTCATTCTAGAGGTATTTGCATTTCAGTGGTGGTACAGGTAGTGTAAATACTTTAGAAAGCTCTTTGGTGAAAGGATTCATGCAAAACTCTTCACTGCCTAGAAACCTGTGCAGTCATTTACACCTGTGCCAAGTGCTACCATTCTGATTAATGGGAGCAGCTCAGATACAGTGTGGAAGGCAGGGTTCAGGACTAGTGATTTCCTTCTCTAGCCAACAAAGCTTCTGTGGCTCACAGCAGCAAGAGGCTCCCCAAGGTAGAGGATGAAAGAAAACTCTTTTGCTTACATCCACCTCCTCTGGCATTGCATACTACTGAAAATGCCTTTTCTTGCAACCTTCTGATTTCTAACAGAACCTTCATGCTTCTCAAAAGATGCCTGCTCCCTGGATATATCTATTTATCCCCACAAGTGATATGTTGGAAAAAGAGAACACATGGTAGAAGTTCAGAGGACGAAATGGGGGAAACATTTGTTTTCCTTCCCTTCTCCACCCAGCAAACCTTTCTGAACTTTCATAGTTTCTAGGGTCGGAAGGGACCTGAGCAGATCATCTAGTCCGACCCCCTGCCATGGCAGGAAGAGCACTGGGGTCAAATGACCCCAGTAAGGTGGTCATCCAACCTCCTCTTAAAAACCCCCAGGGTGGGAGCCTGCACCACCTCACTTGGAAGCTGGTTCCAGACTCTAGCCGCCCTGACCGTGAAGTAGCGCCTCCTGATGTCCAACTTAAACCTTCCCTCCGCCAGCTTGTGACCATTGTTCCTGGTCACTCCTTGCGGCGCTCGGGGGAACAGGGACTCCCCCAGCGCCTGCTGATCCCCCCTAACCAGTTTATAACAGGCCACAAGATCCCCCCTCAGCCTTCTCTTTTGAAGGCTGAACAGGTTCAGGTCCTGCAACCTTTCCTCATAGGACCTACCCTGCTGTCCCTTGATCATACGAGTGGCCCTCCTCTGGACCCTCTCGATGCTGTCCACATCCCTCTTAAAGCGCGGCGCCCAGAACTGGACGCAGTACTCCAGCTGCGGCCTGACCAGTGCCGCATAGAGGGGGAGGATCACCTGCTCGAGATGCATCTGTGGATGCACGACAAGGTGCAGTTGGCCTTCCTAACCGCCTCCCCACATTGCCGACTCATGTTCATCTTGGAGTCAATAATGACTCCCAGATCCTTTTCCACCTCCGTGCTGACAAGAGGAGAGTTCCCTCTTTGCAGCAGTAGGATTCACTTCTGACTAAAAATGGGAAGCTCATCAGACAGAGGAAGCTAAGAGGCACTTATGCACCTCCAAGCTGCTTGGGAGCACTTTCCTGACACACACCCTTAAATTCATGGAAACATCCTCCATATGGAGCTCATGAGGAGTCAGGACAGGGTCAATTTGGGTGTGGGGAAGGGGGAGGAAGGAATGGAAGGGAGGGAATTAAGAAGTAATGGGCCTCTAATCGAGAATTAGAGAGAAAAGGTGGGCATCCGTTGCAACAAGCCAATGGGATGGAATCAAGTTTGGCAGGCAGTACTTGGGGGCTGCTCAAAGCAGAAAAGATTTGAAGATGGGAAAGTCTTAGTTTTCTTACCTTCTCAACAAGTGTCCCACAGCTCAGAGGGGACTTTAATACTAATAATATCTGACCCTCCTGCAATGCTTTATCTCAGTGGATCTCAAGTTCTTAAGCTCTTTACAAAAAATAAGTCAACCCCTGTTTTACAGATGGGGAAATGGAAGCACAGGGAGGTGAAATTATTTTCCTGAGAGTTGCCCATATTGTTAATGACAGAGATGGGACCAGATTCCCCTAAACTAGCGTATGGTGCCGTTTTGTGGACTTCCACTAATGAATGCAGCCGAAGCCAGGTATACACCCATTCTCTCATCTCCAACAGTGCACTACTCCTCAAATCCCCCATTTTGCACTGCGTAGCCCACTGCTGCCCTACCTCCAAATCCCACCTTCTCCTCCCAATCTTTTAAGATTTGCAAGACAAGCCTAAGATTCCTGGGAAAAGGGGCACCCTGGAATGCTAGAAGGCTCATCTTGGGCACTGATGTCCTGAAGCAGAGCCATAGCCGTGTATGCCTCTTAAAGCCCACAGAAGATGGACTTCTCCCCTATTTGTAGCATTAGCAAGGGTGCCAAAATTCAAGTTTCTAAAGTCACTACGAAGGGTGAGAGCTGAACAGTCTTCTAAGCTTTTTCTGCTCCCCTGTCTCATGCTATCATTGCACAACACATGCAACAGACATTTTTAAATTCTTATTAAAGAGCTAAAGTCCTGAAGACCAAGATGCTGTAGGCTGTTAGCCCACAGCAGAATCAGGCCCTACAATTCTGTAACCAATTATCTAAATGTCAGTAGACATTGAGCCAGCTTCCTCAAAAGTACTATTAGAAAACCCAGGTAACAGCCAAATCTAGTGCTCTAATCATCAGAAGCTTATTTGTGACTCAAAATATTAAGTGTGTACCTTAAGGTCCTCATTTTTAATGCAGAACAGGCAGATGGTGAGCTGGCATCATTAATGGAGTAAGAGTCTGGATGTCTTGAGAGGAACAATTTTAACTTCATTCTGCAGGGTGTGAGCCAGAATACTCACTCACTCCACTATGCCAGCCCCACATCACTGCACCTACAGGATACTCAAACTGGCAATATCAAGAGCATAATACCACAGCACTCAAATCCTGAAATGTTTGGGTGCAGTACTTAGCCACCCGCGGAGCCTTTTTGACATGCATGCCCCAAATTAGCCCCAGACCCTCTCCAAGCGCGAGTCCCATTTCCTCCGCATCGGCTGGATGAGGCCTCCTAACACTGGCTTCCGAGCCCCATGCCCCAGCCCTGCAGTACTTAGCCACCCGCGGAGCCTACCCCGCGCCCAGACTCAAACCCTGCGCACACCCCACCCCCGCGCAGAGCCATGACGTCACGTACCCACAGCCCAACCAACTTCCCCACCCCTTGCTCTCCTCGCGCTGCTCAGGCGCGTCAAGCCCTTACGCCCCCTCCCACTCAAGCGTCGTGACCTAGGCAACCAGGCCCGCCCCCCGGAAGCAGAGTCCAATCCGCGTGCAGTCCTGGAAGGCAGCGCAGCCAGTGAGCGGCGAGCGCGGGGGATGTGCGCGTGCGCGGGACCCACTGTTGCCCTGTCCCGGGGTGGAGTTAGAGCGTGTCGTCCCTGCGGTTTCCTTGTTTCCCGGTTCCGACCCCTGTAGCGAGAGCCGGCCGCTGCCCCAGAGCGGTGGCAGTGGAGTCAGGGGGACATTGTCATTTGAGTTTCCCCCGAGAAATACCGTGCCACCCTGCAGCTGTGAGAAGCAGCTGACTGGGGGAGAGGTCCACAATCTGGACGGCTCACTGACTTTACTATGCCCCTGACTTTGCATCCATCTCATTTGTGTTCCCCTAAAATTTGCATGCAAGATGAAGTGGCAAAACGGTTGTCAGGTTGCCACAGCAGGAGTTGGAGCTTGGCTGGGCTGGTGCCAAAGACCTGTGTCAGCCCAGCTGTAAAAGAGTACCTTGCCACTGGCTGGGGAGAGATAGTCCTGTTTGTTTGGAGTCTGGTAGAGAGCCAGGCAGGCACCCTATGGGTAGTGACTCAACCAAGGTGCCATGGCACCCCAGGGTGCCTTGAGATCCTTTCAAGGGTGCCACGCTGTGTTAGCACTGTTAGGTGCGCAAGTGTGATTCACATGAAAAACCTGACTGTCAAATGGAAATCCATTCTTGTGATCTTTCTGAGTTCTTCACAACTGAAAAACTGCTCTATTATTTTTCTGTAGTCAGTAAAAAGAGTGACAACTAAGAGCTGGCATTTTCTGGGTGTCTCAGGTCTTTCCAGGGGTGGCTTGAGCCTAAAAACATTGAAAATCTTTGTTATAGATTAGATCAGGCTGGGGAGTTGAAAGCAGCCAGAGAAAATGCTAGCCACTTCACTTCCTTATGTGCCAGCCCCATGGGCCATTAGGTGTTGGTGGACTTCCCTTGTTTTCATATGGTGCTCACTGTGACCAGTTTGGTATTTATTCACTAGTCCCATGGCAGTCCCTTTCTTGATAAGAGTAATAGTGGACTGGATAAGTAAATACAGTATGATTTCAGGTTTCCTTCTAAGGTGTTGTTACAAGCAGCATAGAAGGGATATTACATTTAACATTTTGAAGAATGCTGGAACTGTTTACTATGAATTAAATAAAATGGACTTCATGAATGTAACATGTACTAGGCCTTTTCAGACATTGTATTAACCTGTTACCAAAAGAGACCTCAATCAGAGGAGACCAGTTTGATAACAATCATTCCCTGTCCTCTAAAATTCTTGTGTCTGTTAATCTGAACAATAATTTACTACGGGAAAACTAAATGGGAAAAGACGGTGAACTCAAGCCTACCTTTTGGCTCAGTGCAGTATCCTGTGACCACATTCTTGTCTGTCTTCAAACTGGTCTCTGACATCACAATGACAGGAAGTTGTACCTTCTGAGGATATGAATACAGTGCAGTTAGTGATGTAGGCAGCATGTTACTAGGTTCTAGTGTTTGAAGAGGTAAGTGTGGCAGCACAGGTTTTCTGTGTGTGATAATTAGTATCTTGAGATTCTGAAGAATGGGGTGTAAGAAAGGGGTAGCTGATGTTCTTCTTCACTTCTGAGATCATGAGGGCTTACCTACCTTACAAGATTTTACTATATTTGAAGTAAGGAGCTCCTCAGACCTGATGAAGAATGTTTTGCTTGTCTAATTCTCCAACATAGATGCAGGCAATTATTTGGGCCTGCAGGCCACATGGGCAGTTCTGGGGAGCTGCTGCAGGCTGGTCAACCTCTCCCTTCCCTCCCGCAACAGGCTGGAGCCCACATGCCCTGCAGTTCCTCCCTGCCACTGCCAACAGGCACAGACAGAGTCCCAGCCCTAGCCCTGACCCTAGCTTACCCCGCACCTGCTTTGGACTTGCCCCACCTAGAGAGGACCAGCTAGAACCCATGCACATAGCGCTGACCCTAGCCTGCCCCATACCTGCTCTGGACCACTTGCGCATGCTAAGCAGTGGCAGCATCTGGGCAGAAGCTGCTGCTTGACACTAGGGAAACGTGTCCCCTCCCCTTCACTGCTGCTTGGCCCTTCTTGCTGCAGCCACCCAGAGCCTGTGCCCAGGCTACCCTGTGGCTCTTTTCCACTGCCATCACTACTGCCTCCGGGCTGCCCAGTAGGACAGTGGTGGCAGTGTGGAGGAGCTGCAGGGCAGCCCGGATGCAGGCTCTGGATGTCTGCAGCAAGAAGGGTCTGACAGTGGCAAAGGGGAGAGGGGCTGCTTTTCCCCTGTGCCAAGCAGCAGCTTCCGCCCAAACGCTGCTCAGTATGGATGGGCAGTCTGGAGCAGGCATGGGGCTGCTCAGGGCTGGGGCCAGGGCTGCGTGTGCAAGAAACTGAATGGGAAAAGACAGTCTGCTCTGCCAGGCCAAGTCCAGAGCGGGCATGGGGTGGATCAGGGTCGGGGCTGTGCATGCAGGTCTCTGCCAGCACCACAGGGCTGGGGCCAGCAGCAGCTACAGCAGGAAGGAGCTGCCACTGCCTGGGCTGCCTATAAAGTCAGTTCAGTTGCAGAACTACCCCAGCCCCGCTGCATGCCCAGGGGGTGGCACGACATGCCATGGACCAGACAGCGTCTGGGCCAGGCGGGACCGAGGGACCTGCCACGGGCCAGACAAAGTCCCTTCGCAGGCCAAATCCGGCCTGCAGACGGTATGTTGCTCACCCCTGCTCTAACTTGTCTAACTCCATCTAATTTGTCTAACAAGTAAGCTTGTCTAACTCTATCCCAACTATGCAGTTGGTCCAATAAAAGATAGCACGCTAAGAAATGCTTGCCTCTCTCATATTCCTGGACCATCACAGGTACAACTTCACTCCAACACCACTGTAGCTGGACACATTTAGAAAAATCAAGATAATCAACATAATACTAACCATGATGCAACTGTTGACGTAGACCAAGGCGAATTCACGTTCTGACAGAATACTACTGGTTTTTAGCATAGTTGTGAAGAATGGATTGAATGGATATGGGTGCTAACTCAGTTATCAAAAATGTGTAAATATAGACCAGCCATGATATGGGAAGGACTTTGCCAGTCAGCATCCCTTATGCCCTCCTAAAGTCAGCAGTTGTTCTTTGCCTCCTGCCTACTGCAGATTTCTTACACCATTTTTTGAAACACTAATTTCTGGCTATTGTCAGTGACAACCCTGGACTTGATGGATTGCTGGTCTAATCCAGCTTCGTTCTTTCTGTGCTTAACAGAGCTCCTGATATTTCTGGATCTGCTTTGCTTTATTCTGCTAATTTCCCCTACCCTACACCCCACCCCCATGTGTCTTATTTGAATTGAATTGGAGTCAAAATAATGTGATGTGATTAAGAGGAAAACTTTTGTTCTGTTTCTCATTCAGTAGCTTGATAGGCATAATTGGAGGAAAAGATGGAAGAATACTGGAAGCAATTTTTTGGCAAGTGAAAGTGTACAAATAGCAACTCTGAAAACACATTAAATACTCTGTTGTGCTATCATCCAGAAGACCCCGTAATTTATTCATTATATTTTTGGAACATCAGATTACTGTTAGCATGGCTCGGTGAAGTACAATTTAATGTTTATGTGGTATACTAATGCTAAAGTTAAAATCTCTTGAGACATCTATCATATGCTTCCAGAGTTCACAAGCTAATTACTTTCTGCAGAATTTTTACTTTCAGTGGAAATATTCCATGCTTCATATCAGCATAACATTGAAGAAAC